TAGCAGTATCAAGTTGGCATGGAGGGTAGACCTAGACTGATTGGGATAAATGAGGATTAAATATGGGGCGCCAGCCAGCGCCGGATCCGAGGAGCAGGCTCTGGGGCATTCTGTTGAAACTATATATTTACAGTCTGAAAGTACCATTTTCGGAAATCTAGAGTTGTCAAATTGTAAAGTATGCTCACCTCAGCAATAACTTGTGGTGGTAAATGAGCCATTTTTGGAGGCAACCGGCTTGTCTGGAGGATTTCTGGCCCTGGCATTGCTTTCTGTACATGAGCGGTTTTTTTTTTTTCTGAAAGTTTCTTGTGGTCTGGGTGCACGTTTGATTTATCCCCACCCTTCCCAATTCTACTGCATTACCTCATTGGTGAAGGCCTATCATACCTGATGTTGAAAAACCAATGCTTATAGAGGCCTATATTCATAATATTACAAGAGAATAGGTGGGGCTGACATTGAAAAACTGTGGAAGTACAGAAATATGTGGCCCGCCGCTGGTCTCAGCAGATTGGAACTGGCCACTAGCTTATAACGGTTGAATACACGGGGAATAGGAGGAGGATCCAGGGGCGGATCCAGAATTTTTCAATCTGGGTGGGGGAGGGATGCACAGCAGTTTCAAAATAAATAAGTGAGAGCACATGACATTGATATGCATTGACATTTTTTAGATTTATAGTGGCAAAACCTGGAGGGCGTGACCCCTACTGATCCGCGCCTGGAAAAAGAGCCCACAAATGTAAAAATTTACCACAAATGTAAAAATGATTGCGCTCTTTGAGTTTGACATTTTGAAAAAAGTTTATGTTATTTTATGGAACTAAAAAACCTTCTCCTTAAACTAAAATACCCACAAAATTTTAAAAACATTGTACACCCAAATATCAAAATAACCGCAAGTGTCATAAAATGTCACCACAAATGTAAAAATAACCACAAACGTAAAAAACTTCGCCCACGCGTGTAAACAAATCTTTTTAACCACAAATGTAAAAAAAAGAATATTTCGCCAACAAATGTAAAAATTCACAATTTTACCTGAAGGTTTTTTTCTAAGCATTAAAATCCTTAAAATATTTTAAGACCCTAGTGGTTATTTTTACATTATTGTGGTTGATTTGTGGGCTACGGTGGTCTTCGGTTTATAATATCTGAGAAGACATCTTCCATCACCAGAACCACAGGCAGCGTGATGTTTACAAGTAGCACTGACTTATCGGTGGCATTCGACTCACCAACAGTTTAGAATTTGCAGTGAATTAAGAGTGAAAATTTTAGAGTAACATATTATTGATGGATCATTATTTTAAATTATACGTTCTTTTTGAGAAACTGAACTGAAATTCAGCCTTAATAATATGCTGGTTTTGCTTTCGAATAAACAGTTGTGTAGGCCTATATTTTCACTCAATTATCTCAGAATGTTTATTTTATGTCAACCGTTGACAAAGACTACCAGCAGAGAGTAGCAGATATTCGTTACAATAAATTCTGGTTTCAGCTTTCATTTTGTTTTATTTAGACATCATCTAGTGTTTCTAATGTCAAAGTTGTACGTAATATTAGTATTTATTACCATTATAAGGAAACATTCAATATTTATAATTATTCATCCTTTAGTTGTTAAATTTCTCTCTTTTTGCTTATCACGTATCCAACCTCTTACCCATATGCGATCTTAGGCCAATCAAGCTAATTGAAATTCGCGAGCCATCTACTTTTTCCAATAACTACATTAGCATCCTCACTAATTGACTTTTCCATGAATTGAGTTGAAATATATCACTAATTACATCTTACTTAAGGTACTAAACTTTGCCATTAATATAGTATTGACATCGCTATTGCTTGATCTGTTTTTTTTTTTGTTTTGTTTTTGTTTTTTTTTTTTTTTTTTTTTTTTTGATTAAGATAAACTTTAGAGCGTCGAATCAATTGTTCCTGTTGTTTTTATTTTAAAAGGAATTTGCCCTTGTTGTGATAAAACGTATCTTGTGATTGCATACAGTAGTGAGAATGACTGGATGATCATAACCGTTTGATTACGGAGTTAAGGGCACTCGGAAGCGCCTTTGCGATGTCCTGCCTTACTTCTTCCTCCTAAAATTGTATCTTTGTAACTTAAGCGTTGTTAATTAAATTTATAATATGATGATATTTGATCATTAATTTTAAACTGTTTATAAGCAATACCGTAGCCAGCTATTGGGACAGTTGGGATGCTCCCACACAATGGGTCCACAAAAATAATGGATCAACATTTTTGAAAATTTGTCTAAATTATGCATTTTCAAGCACAAAATAAGTCCACTTTTTGAAAAATGGATCTAGATTTCTCATTTAGCCTGAAATGGGTACAATTTTAAGAAAATGGGTTCAGATTTTTCATATTTATGCGTAAAATGAGTCAACCTTTAAGAAAATGGTTCCACATTTTTTTAATTTACGCGTAAAATTGGTCCACTCTGATATTGTCCTGCACTGTTTGAAAATTTTGGCTACGGCATCGCTTGAAAGGTAAAATTATGATGAAGTTAATATAAGGTAATTAAGTAAAACCAAATTCATTATAAAGTGAACTCTTCTATAAATTATGCTCATATTTTAATAATCAAGATGCGCAAATAATTTGCTATAAGCATTGACGTACTTTATCAAAAATTGTATAACGTGAAAAAGATAAGCTATGAAATTAAAAAGTTATAATTATTGATTAGAATAAAGAATATTTTAGTGCAAATATTATTAAGAAACTTTGATCATATCGCCGCTTTAACCGCTGTATTACAGAACTGTTGGCGGATGAATGTTTATTTAAAAACTAGTTATGATCCAAACTATACATTTCCTCATTGTTTATTATCTTCGGCTGGTTGTTTCTTTACTCACTAACGTGCAGTAGGCCTAATCATTGATTCCTGACAAGGAAGCAGTTGAGACGACCTTTCAATTACTTCCATGTTTTAAAGGTTCTCTCAAATAATATGTTTACGGTGTAA